GGCAGTGAGGCTGTCATCATAGACGAGGACCTTGCGGTACAAGTTGGACTGGGCCTCGATAGGTCATACCTATTCGAGATAGAGACGGCTGATGGGAGAAAGCAACAGATCATTGGGGTTTGTCACAAAGCAGTCATAGAGGTCCAAGTGGTGCGAGTAACCCTGCCTGTCTTTGCAGTCAAGAACTGCAGCTCCGACCTGCTCTTGGGTAGAACGTGGCTAAGCCACGTGCATGCGGTGACGATAGAGCGACCTGATGGAAGCCAAACATTGTCCATTAAGAAGCCATACGGGACGCGGGTAATGATTGAGATAGTGGAGCCTCGGGACCCGAGGAACAGAGCAGCTCTCGTTGTGGGTGCAAGACCCAGTGATCAGATAAAGTCGTTACCCATCTCTGGCCGCGCGGTGCGATTTCGCGAGAAGAGATATAGACCACTGCTCACAGAGGGAGAAGGTCGGATGGTGAAGGTGGAAGACTTAGGGAGTTGGCTAATAGTGGACGGCAACTCGTACCCAAAGGAAAAAGATGAGGAATTTGGCGGTGTGGTATCAGTGTCTTTTTTAAGAGCACTGTCCCCTATGGGGGGCAACCCAAGCGACACAAACGAGTAGCACAGAAAGTTAAGCCAGCGGCGGTGGGCCGCGAGCGATCTGCACTAGAAGGGATATCGGAAGAAGAGATCGCAAAAGAAATCAAAGAAAGACAGAAAAAGGAGCCGCAACGCCTAACGGAAGAGAGAATAGCAGGGATGGACATCGGAGATGGAAATCATACCCCACAGGAGCGAGGGCGTGTGATAGAAATTCTGAAGACATGTGATAAGGCAATAGCTTTCAGCGACGCGGAGCGCGGTAGGATTGACCCTCGATACGCTAAGCCAGCAAGGATTTACACGATATCACATGTTCCCTGGAACGACGCGGGATGGAAATACGCCCAGAAGGAGAAGGAAGAAGTTATCGCCTTCCTGAAAGAAAAGATGGTTTCCCACGTTGCGGAGCCATCTGATAGCGCATATGCAAATCGATGGTTCTCTTACGAAAGCCGAATGGTAAAATCCGATGGATCCAGGACCTTCAGAAGGTCAACGCGGTGACGATACGAGACGTGGGCTCCGTGCCACACGCCGATTTACTGGCAGAAGGCGCAGCAGGTAGGTCGATCTATTCGGTTTGTGATTTGTTCTCAGGCTATGATGAGGTACCGCTTGACCCTAGGGACAGACAGCTCACGGCTATGCATACGCCATTGGGACTGATTCAAATGATGGTTGTCCCTATGGGTTGGACTAATGGGGTAGCCGTTTTTCAGAGAGCCATGGTAGCCGTCCTCAGGGACTTCATCCCTAATAAAGTTGAAGTTTTTCTGGATGACTTTCCTATAAAAGGGTCAGTAGAGAAGGATGAGACAGAGGTTATACCTGGGGTTAGAAGATTCGTCGAGCAGCACCTAACAGACATTTGCGCGGTACTCGAGCAGCTGGACGATGCGAATTTGACAGTCAGCAGAACAAAGAGCCGATGGGTCGTCTCGACTATTAAGATCTTAGGTTTTATCTGTGACTCGAGAGGACGCCGAGCAGATCCGGCGAAGTTGGACAAACTTCTGAACTGGCCTTCACCGTTACATAGCCCAACCGAGGTCCGGCAGTTTCTAGGGGTGGTCGGTTACTGGCGTATATTCATACGAGGGTATGCGGAGAAGGCTGAGCCATTGAGGTTACTCCTTCGAAAGACTGAAAAATTCTATTGGGATTCTTCGCAGGAATTCGCTATGCAAGAACTTAAAGACGAATTTAAGGAGGGAGGACGCGTGTTGGGCGTGCCGTTCTTTGACGATGAGACCGAGAGACCCTTCATAGTTTCCGCGGATGCTGGACCATGTTCAATAGGTGGTTTGCTGTCTCAAAAGGACGCTGGAGGGAAGGAAAGRCCGTTAAGATTTGAGAGTAGGACACGTAATGCGGCTGAGCGTAACTACAGTCAATTCAAGAAGGAAGTGTTAGCTGTTCTCCAGTGTCTAGAGACGTTCAGACACTATATCTATGGGCGACAGTTCATCTTGAGAGTAGACCCCACCGCGGTTGCCTCTGCCCTCCAGAAGGACTTTAGTTTGACGGACCCGACCATCGCCCGATGGTTAATACGGATTCGGCTATACGATTACACGGTTAAGAGAGTATCTGGTACTAAAAATGCTGTGGCAGATGGACTTTCACGCTTCTCTCTCGAGCGCCCGATAGTAGCTGGGGCCCTGACAATGGCAGAGCCGAGACGCGCGGAGAGATTTCTAGTTAATCTTTACGAGGGCAAGTACCGAATAATCGGACTACACCTGACGGGAGAAGAGAGTCAAGAATCAGATATCCGGAGGCAAGCAGCCCAGTACTGCCTTAGAGCGGGCCACCTTTTCCGAAGGCCAGTAGGGTCGGGAATGCCCTTACGAGTAGTCTGTGACCCTGAGGAGAGACAGACAATAGTTGCGGGGCTTCACGACGGGGTAGTCGGAGGACACAGGGGAGTCAAAGGAACCTACGAAAAGGTACGCAGGTTGTACTGGTGGGAAGGACAGTATAAGGACGT